CAGTTTTTAGCAGGAATGTTTCCTGCTTTTCACTGTTGAGTTATTATATTGGCTGTGGGTTTGTAATAAATGGCTTTTATTATGTTGAAATATATTCTATGTGTACCCACTTTGGTATACATATGGTGGGTGTTGAATTTTGTCAGATGGCTTTTCTGTATCTATTGAGACGATCATGTAGGTTTTGACTTTTTTTTTTTTAATGTGGTACATTACATTGATTTGTGTATATTGAACTATCCTTGTGAGCTTGGGATGAATCCCACTTGGTTGTGGTATATGATCTGTTTTATGTGTTGTTAGATTCAGTTGGCTAATACTTTGCTGAGAATTTTTACATCTGTATTCATCCAATATATTGGCCTGTAGTTTTCTTTTTTCATGGTATCTTTGTCTGGTTTTGGTATCAGGTTGATGGTGGATTCATAGAATGTCCTTGAGAACGTTCCCTCCTCTTCAGTCTTTTGGAAGAGTTTGAGAAGGGTTAGTGTAGATTCTTTGTATGTTCAGCAGAATTCGCCTGTGAAGACATCTGGCCCTGGACTTTGGTTTGTAGGAAGGTTCGGCTGGGTGGGTGGGTGGGTGGGTGCGGTGCCAGGTCTTCTGCAGTTCTGTGGCATGCGGGAACTCTTTTTGTTGCGGCCTTAGGATCTTTAGTTGCCGCCTGCTGGATCGTTAGTTATCGTTTGCTGGATCTTCAGCTGTGGCACCTGGGATCTGGTTCCTTGACCAAGGGGCTGAACTGGGCCTGCTGCACTGGCAGTGTGAAGCCTCAGCCACTGGCCACCAGGGAAGTTCCTGTGGGGAGTTTTTTGTGTGTGTCTGTTGGTGTGTGTTTTAGTCTTTGTTTACTCTATGATAATTATTATTTACTTCCTTCTGATGACTTTAGGTTTTATTTGTTCTCCTTATTTCTAATTCTTTTAAGTTGTAAGTTAGGTTGTTTGAGATTTTCTTTTTTTAATTATTTCTTGAGGAAGGCCAGTATCGCGATGAACTTCTAAGAACTCCTTTTGCTGTATCCTGTAGATTTTGTATGGTTGTGTTTTCATTTTCATTTGCCTCGAGGTATTTTAAAATTTCTCCTTTGATTTCATCCTTGATCCGTTAGGTTTTTTTGTTTTAAATTTTTACTGGAATATAATCACTTTACAATGTTGACCCATAAATTGTTTAGTGGAATGTTAGTTCCTTTAATTGCTTGTGTTTTGCTTTTTTTTCCTCCCCGCTGTGGTTTATTTCTAGTTTCTCGGTGTTGTGGTAAGAAAGGATCCTGGAGACCTTAAATTTGTTGGGGCTTGTGTTGTGCCCTCGTATGGGATCAGTCCTTGAGAATATTCCATGTGCCCTGGAAAATAATGTGTGTTCTGGTTTGGTCTTTTTTAAATGAAATGTCCTGAAAATATCAATTAAGTCTACCTGTTCTGTTGTCTCATTTACGATTTCTGTTGCCTTATTGATTCTCTGTCTCGAAGTCTTTAGCTATTATATTCTTGTCAGTTTTTCGGGTCTCGCTTTATGTCTATTAGTCTTTTATGTATTTGGGTGCTCCTTTATTAGGTGTGTATATGTTGACAAGTGTAAAATCTTTGGTTTTGGTTCTTGTATCATCATATACTGTCCTTTATCTTTAAAGTCCGTCTTCTCTGTTAAGGGTATTGCAGTCCCCTCTTTCTTGTCTTTTCTGTTTGCATGAAGTATCTTTTCTCATCCTCTCATTGTCAACTTGCGTGTGTCCTTTGCCCTGAAGAGGGTCTCTTAGAGGCGGCATAGTTGAGCCTTTTAAAAAAAAAAAAAATCCAGTCTGCAACTCTGCATCTTTTAATCCTTTGACATTTAAGGTAATTATTGATAACTATGTATTTATTGCTACTTTAAACCTATTTTCCCATTGATTTTATGTTTTTTCTTTTTCCTTTTGTGGTTTCATGATTTTTCTCTTGTATTACACTTAAGTTCTCTTCTTTTTGTTTTTTTATGAACCTGTTTTGTTTTTGATTTGTGCTTACTCTGTTTTTCAAGGATATCAACCCTTTCCTTTATCTCCTTTCCCTAGACTGTTAGTCATATGGGCTCAAAAGATATTCCATGGGGGAAAAAGTCTACATTCTCTTACTCCCTCCCCACCCCTATTTTATGATTTTGATGTCCTTTTTTATATCTTCACCACTTCCCTGGTGGCCCAGTTGGTAAAGAATCTGCCTGCAATGCAGGAGACCTGGGTTCAACCACTGGGTCAGGGAGATCCCCTGGAGAAGGAGATGGCAACCCACTCCAGTATCCTTCACTGGAGAATCCCATGGACAGAGGAGCCTGGTGGGCCATAGTCCGTGGGGTCACAAAGAGTCGGACATGACTGAGTGACTAACGCTTTTCACTTTGCATCTTCATGTTTATCATTTTCTGTTCATTATTGTTATCATCACTTTCACAGAAATCTTTTTGATTTTTAAAAAATGTGTGTGCTAGCTTATTTAAGCGATTTATTTTCCAATTGTGGATTTTTCTCTTTCCTATAGATTTTTTCTTCTTTACTACTAGTAGGGAAGACTTTTCAACATTTTCTTTAAAATAGGCTAAGTATTGCTGTATTCCTTTGGTTTTTACTTGTCTGAGGAATTCTTCATCTCTCCTTCTATTTTAAATGATCATCTTCTTGGGTAGAGCATGTCCTCGGTTGCAGATTTTTCCTTTTCAGGACTTTGAATATATCCCTCGTGGCCTGCAGCATTTCTGTGTAGAAATCAGCTTGTAGCCTTATGGAAGTTCCCTTGTAATGAACCCTGTTTCTCTCTTGCTGCCTCTGGAGTCCCCCTTTAACTTTTGCCATTTTTATTATAATGTGTCGTGATATAGGTCTCTTTGGGTTCATCTTTTTTTGGGACCAGCCATGCTTCCTGTATCTGGATATCTGTTTCCTTCTTTAGGTTTGGGAGGTTTTCAAATACACTTTCAGTCCGTTTTTCTCTTTCTTTCCTTTCTGGAATCCCTGTTATGCGTAGATTGGCATGGTTTAGATTATCGCATAGGTAGGTCTCTTATATTGCTTTCTTTTTTTTTTTTAATTTGACTTTCTAGTTGCTGTTCTGATTGGATAATTTCCATTATTCTACCTTCCAGATCACTTATTCTTTCTTCTGCATTATTCACTCTGCTATTCATTTCCTTTAGCTCAGTTTTTGTCTCAGGAAATGAATTTTCTAATTTTTCTTGGCCCCTCTTTATAGTTTCTAGTTTCTTTTTACAATAATCTGCATTTATATCAATAGCCTTTCATAATTCCTTCAATATTCTCATTATCTCCTTTTTGAACTCAGTGTCTGTTAGATCAAAGAGGTCTGCTTCATTGTTTATTCTTTCAGGGAGATTCTCTTGGTCTTTTAACTAGGAGTGATTCCTCTGCTTTTCCATTTTACTTGTATTCTCTTAATCTGTGAGTTTAGGAAAAACAGTTACCTACTGTGGTTTCAGAGGACTGTTTATATGTGGGGATGACCCTGTGGTGCTTGTGTGGGTTTATTTAGTACGAGGCCCTGTCGCCTCACTACTCATTGTGTGCTGGTTATTATTCCCTTAATAGAGGGTGTGTAGATGCCGAAACCGGGGTCTGGTCCTGGCGTTCTCAGCAGCGTCAGTGGTTCAGGCACATCCCTGGGGCACATGTAGCAGTGGAGACAGCTCATTACCTCTCCTGGATGTTCGTTTGCCTTCTTAAAAGATCAGTTCAGATCCATTGTGAAGTGTGCCGCAGATTTAACTGTAAAGGAAAACAGTCTCTCTCTTGCCATACAGGGGTTTTTAGTTTAAATCTCTCTCATTGTGTTGAATTAATGTAAGGACTGTTCTTTAGTGGTATATATGGCAGTTATTTTCCTCTACCAGCCTTGGAGTGATTTGGTTGTATTTTGGTAACTTATATTTTGACCGTGTGATCTTACACCCTTTGTATGTTTTTTTGTAAGCCCAGTGTATTGTGGGTAAGATACTGGTAGTTTCATCTTAAACAGCCTTAACTTCATATGGAAGCCCCCTTTAATTACTCCTAATTTTCTACATATCAAAGTATGCTGTCACTTTTATTATTTAATGATAGTTAATTCAGAAATCTCTTGTAGTAAATCTGGAGCATATTACTTGACTTTTGGCAGCAGCTTATTTTCCTAATTAAATAGATTGGTATGTGAGAATCTATTTGTGTTTTTTAATGGACCAGAATTGAGCAGTGACAAAATGTTAAGCTGGATTTACCTGACACAAGGAAGAAGGCTCCAGGATTAAAATTTGACCCTAGCTCATACAAAAACCTGTCCAAAACGTTGCTAGTGTCATTGTTTATAATAGCCCAAAGTGGAGACAACCCAGATGCCTGCCAACTGTTGAATGGATAAAGGAAATGTGGTGTGTATGTTCGGTTGAATAATTTGGCCATAAATAGGAAAGACTGACACATAAGTGAAAAAGTCAGTCACAGAAGGCCACCCGTGTGATTCCATTTATATCAAGTGTCCAAAGCAAGTAAATCCCAAGAGGCAAAAGGTAGATTGATGAGTGATTGCAAAGGGCTGGGGTGGGGGCGTGAGAAGGGACCTGCTCACAGGTATGTGTTTGTTTTTTGATGATGAAGGTACTCTAAAGTTAATAGCAATGATGGCTGGACAAGTCTGCATATACTAAAAAACAGTTGGACACTTTAAAAGGGTGGATTTTATGGCATGTAAGTTATATCTCAATAAAGCTGTTAAGAAAAATTGGTTTCAGGTAATATGTGTATGTGTAATGAAACGGTAGTGTGAGAGGAAAGTGAAGTGACCAAGGAACTCGTCAGTCTTCTGTGAGAGTGGAAAAAGGAAAGGATGTGACTTGCAGGAAAGAGAAAGATCAACCCAAGTTTGCTTCTCTAAGAAATTAACACTGGGTAATTGTGTGTTTGAGAGAGAGCTGAATACACAGGGTTAGATTCTCTAAATGGATTGTTTCTGATACACAGTTTTTACATGTAGGTCAGTCTTACGAAATCCGAATGCTGGATAATCGGAAAATGGGAGATGTGCCTGAGATCACTGGAAAACTGGTAAAGGTAAGGACCTCCATTTAAATTCTGAAAAGATACTGAAACGACTCAAAAAATAGCAGTTTTGCCGCAAGAGTTTTGCTTTTTGTTGCAGGAGTTTTTAACAAATTATTTAATGGCACTTTAAGGAAGTAGTGGCTTTACTAAAACTTACTTTTTACGCTATATTTTGTTTACTCCTCTGTAAAATAGGAATTATAGCTATATTTTGTTTACTCCTCTGTAAAATAGGAATTATAGCGGTTACTGAAGTAAATATTAAAGCCCTGTGGAAACAAGGTACCATAGAACATTGTAACTGAGCAAGGGTGAAAAACACAGTGCTAAAAAACAAAAACTTGGTTTCTCTTTAAAAGATGCCTTAGGGAAAGAGATACTGTGGGGGCAAGTATAAGCATTACTGTGATACTTCTAAAGAGCCTTTTATTTTACCTCTTAAAATTTCTCCTACGTAAAATTTTATTTCTTCACCCTACTGGAGTTATCTGAAGAGTCATTCATTCCAGGCGTAGCCAAACGCAGTCCTTTTAGGATTTTCAGACCCACCCCTGGCCCCTGCAGTATCTGCGTGGTGGATCCTTCTAGTCTTTACTTGTCGCTCAGCACACAGTGCGACACCAGAACTCCAGAGCGTTACAGGGCAAGGGTTATGGGAGAAGCTTCACTGGCAAGATGGAAGACTTCCGTGAGGCTGCTGGTGAGAGAGAAGCAGGACTTCTCTCGGCCCTTCCGTCTCCCTCCGGGGAGGCCCGCTGGGCCCTCAGTGCAGAGAGGCCCGTCCCTTTTCAGAAGGGCGAGCGTGGGGAGGGGACAGCGGTACTGGTGCTGACAAGCCCAGCAAGTCCCGAAAGCAGCTGTCCCGCGCTGCGCGCCTGAGAGTCTTTGAATATTTAGGGGCAGAAAGCTCCTGATCCTACTGGTCCCGACTGGAGCACTGTCTTGCCAACCTGGAATAAGCGCCCAGGTTTCTCCTGACTCCTAGGACTCCCAGCATACTTGGAATGGAAGGAGACAGGTGACTTACCTGTTCTCACATGTGCCGTTTAAATGTGGAGTCTGTCATGTCTAGGCCACATCAGTGAGTTGGGTCATTTCCCTAGAGGGTGAGTCAGATGACTGTATTTTTTTTTTTTTAATCATTTGTTGTTGCCCAACTCTTTGTGACCCCATGGACTACAGCATGCCTGGCTTCCCTGTTCTTCACTATCTCCTGGAGTTTGCTCAAATTCATGTCCATTGTATCAGTGATGCTATCTAACCATCTCATCATCTGTTGACCCCTTCTCCTCCTGCCCTCAATCTTTCCCAGCATCAGGGTTTTTTCTAATGTCAGCTGTTCACATCAGGTGGCCAGAGTATTGGAGTTTCAGCTTCAGCATCAGTCCTTCCAGTGGATATTCAGGACTGATTTCCTTTAGGATTGACTGGTTTGATCTCCCTGCTGTCCAAGGGACTCTCAAGAGTCTTCTCCAGCACCACAGTTCGCACTCAGCCTTCTTCATGGTTCAGTTCTCACATCCATACATGACTACTGGAAAAATTATAGCTTTGACTTTACGGACCTATGTCAGCAAAGTGATATCTCTGCCTTTTAATACACTGTTGGGTTTGTCATAGTTTTCCTACCAAGGAGCAAACATCTGTTAGTTGCATAGCTGCAGTCACCACTCGCATTGATTTTGGAGCACAAGAAAATAAAATTCGTCACTGCTTCCACTTTTCCCCCATCTATTTGCCTTGAAATAATGGGACCAGATGCCATGATCTTAGTTTTTTTTAATGTTAAGCTTCGAGCCAGCTTTTTAAAAATTCCCTCATTTTGCTTTCTCACCTGTGGTAAACACTGATCAGATTCACCTTTTTACAGAGGTGTTAGCATTGTTCCCAGTAAGCAAGCCCCATTGGATTGGTTATACTCAGCTGAACTCTAGTGACAAATAAGAGTTTGGTCAAGGAGACTCAGAGCTCTCATTTTCCAGAGTCCAGGAGGCTTATTACCAGTGATACTCTCTCAGCATGACCTGGTTCCAGCTCATCGTTGTCAGACAAGTATGGGGTATCCCGGCAAATCTTTGCCAAATTGTGCCACACCTGGTTAATATTCAGCCTAGTGACATGTTACTTAAGACGATGTGGGTGAACTCTGTTGTCATTGTGACAGTCACAGGGTTACTTTTTAAATGGTCTTAAATTAATTTGATCAACCACTTGAGAAACCACATATCTGATTTTTGGTGGATATGAATACAGACAGTCACATCCTGAGAGCTTGTCTGGGATTCAGAGTTACAGTTAATGACTGCCAGAGACTACAGGATGAATTTCTTTTTCTTGGTTTTCTGGCCACATCACACGGCGTCTTAGTTCCCCCACTAGGGGTCACACCTGTGCCTCCTGCATTGGAAGTGCGGAGCCTTAAATGCTGGACCCCCAGAGAAGCCCTCAGGACGGATTTCTTAAAAGACAACCTCCTTTTTCAGCTGAAGAGCCCCTAGAACACTCTGCAGCCAAAAGAGTTGAATTTCCTGCCCCCATGATCTTTGACTCGCTCTTGAGGGGAAGTCTCAGGGATCAAATGTTGCTGAGCAGAGGTGCTTGGGAACTTCTTGATGTGCTGAAAATATTCAGCACGTTCTCTCTGCTTGTTCGGGCTCCTTATCTGTGGCTCACTCTCTGGTGCATTGTCTCCTTTTAGTCAAAACTTCACGGTGGCTCCGATGGTAAAGAGTCTGCCTGCAGTTCGGGAGACCCGGGTCCCATCCCTGGGTTAGAAGGACCCCATGGAGAAGGAAAATGGCAGCCCACCCCAGTATTCTTGCCTGGAAAATCCCATAGACAGAGGAGCCTGGCAGGCTAAAGTTCATGGGGTCGTGAAGAGTCGGATACGACTTCACTTTCCAGAGAACTTTTCCCCTTCTAATCTCATTTAAGAGGTTTTCTTTTATATCCTCTCATTTCCTAATATATAGGTCCCCCCTTTATATTCCTTACTGTGCTACTTAGTCTGACCTAGAAAGGGGTTTAGTACAGCACTGTAAACTAGTATATTCTCATAGTATTTTTATCTGAATTCATGGATTTGATCTGGTTCTTACTAAATATGAGAGAATCAAAATCATGACATTTTCTGTGCTGCACTTTTAAACGGTTCCTTTCAAAATACGTATCCGCTTTGGTTTGGACGGCATGTGGTGTTGGGGAAGGTAGGGGCACTAATGATAATATTTCTATGTATGGGTAACAAGTTATTTCCTGTTCCATCCAACAGAGAGTCTACTGGAAATAAGAGTGTCTTATTCCATCATAGTCTGAGAAGCAATTACTTATAAATGTGTCAGAAACACTAATTAGTGCAAATACGGTACCTGAATCCATTTTGATGGCCTGTTATCCTGTCCCTGAAACAAAATAGTAGTTGGCAGCCCAGACCTGTGGCAGGTGTGGGAGGGCTGGGTGGAGAGCAGAGAACGTCCTACAGTTTGTGGGGTAGAGTTAAAGCCTTCCCTCGGAATGAACTTGAGTGTTTGGATGACGTTTACCTGTGTTCTTTTCTGTTTTGTTTCCCTTGCTTACCTCAGCTAACCTCACTTGCAGTTTGAACTAATTTTGTATATAGGTTCTCTATTTGGGGGTGGTGGCAGTTCCCCACCCTCACCCCATGCCCTTGACACTTTTAGGGGGTGCTATGCAGCATGCTGGGGGGTGGGTCTTAATTCCCTGCCCAGGGATCAAACCCAGGCCCCCTGCATTGGAAGCACAGAGCCCTAACCACGGGAGAGCTGGGGTCATCCCTAATGTTTTCTTTATAGAAATATAACTCTTCCTAATTTCTTAGGGACACAGACCTTAATTTTGAATTACAGTATCAAATTTTTTAATAAAAATTTTACCTAAGAAACCATTTTATTCTTGTTGAGTTAGAATTCTTTGCACCAAATATTATTAATTGTACCTATAACCTAGGTATCCAAGAAGAAAACAGCCCACTTACAAAATGTGTAAATTAAAAGAGTTTGCTTTTGTATGCTTTTCTGTTATAGGTTAATGTTTAAGAAGTGAACACACTTGTGCTCTTTAGCTGGGACAGTTTAAAAGTGTTCATTTCCCCCACTTATTCCGTAGAGCATCATCAGGGTTGTATTCCATGACCGACGACTCCAGTATACAGAGCATCAGCAGCTGGAAGGTTGGAAGTGGAATCGCCCGGGAGACAGACTCCTCGACTTAGGTACAGGCGATGTCGGGGGCCTGCTGGGACACTGGCACCACTCCGCGCATGATCGTGTGGGGAAGGTCTGATGTCAGCAGATCCTACGTGACTTGAGTTGTTTTATAGTTAAAACTGAAGTTGGGATGTGTGTGTATGTGTGTGCACGCGCTTACAGAAACTGAGCCAGAGATTTTATGAGTTTGAAATCATTTAGATCATTGTTGACTGGCATCAATCCCTCATTTTCTTAATAAAATGAAATAGAAACAAACCATGGTGGGAGAAAGTATGATACACAGTAAGTGGGCTGAGGTTGAAGTGTTTGACCATGGCGAACATTGAAGGAAAAAGCGCAGTATAATTTCATTAGCACATAATCATCTTAGTTGTAACCTTTTAATTGGTTTATTCCTATGTCACTTCTTTTTAAAATGCAGATATTCCAATGTCCGTGGGAATAATTGACACCAGGACAAATCCAAGCCAGTTAAATGCAGTTGAATTTCTGTGGGATCCTGCAAAACGCACATCTGCTTTCATTCAGGTTTGGAGTTTCACATTATTACAAGCTCACTAGCCTCATCGTTCAGAAGGCCGTGGGTGAGACTGAATGCTTGGGTGCAGCATCTTATTTTCTTTAAATGCTTATTTGTAAACTGTCTTGTAGTGTCTTTTGTATACACAAACATACACTGTTAAATTGGAGTTAATCTCCTAAGTTCATCATGTATAGACATTAACATACAGAGACCATCTGATGTGTAAAGCATTATTTAAATACTGCATTTACTACTAGTAGTAACAATAATCAACACTTCTTGTCAGAATGCATTTCTCTGGAACAAAACCTATTTTTAAAGGAGATGATTGAAAAGTATAGTTTTAAGAAAAACTATACTATAAAAAGTATAGTCTAGCTTTGTTTAAAAATATTTTAACACTGAAAATTTCAGACCCCCATAAAAGGAGGAGAAGATAATGAACTGTCTGTGTGCACGTCTCCTGGCTTCTACAGATACTATAATTTCCCCTTTTGTTTCTTGGTGGAATACTGTAAGGCAGCCCTTGGGCATTTCATTTGACTTGTGAATGCTCAGTTTGTATCCCCTAAGAGATCAGTTTTTGAAAAAACAAATATATAGTATTATTATATGTAAAATAAAATCAACAGTAATTCTAATATTCAGTATATTCAAATTTGTCAGTGGTGGTATTAAAATTTGCCGAGTAGGTGATCTTTATATAGAAAAGGAAGATTGCTTTTAATTGCCGACCAGCCTAAGTAGACTCTGGTTTGTGTGAACTTTAGAGAATCTTCAGTATTTTGCATTTTTGGGTCCTCCAAGCAGCGTCCCCCATCAGCTAACAGGCACATGTCACTTGTTGCCTCTCATACTGTTCATCTGACAGGGTATCTGGTCATGTGGTGAATGAGAGGGATGTACGAGCTGGCCGTACATCTCAGTCTTAGTGTAGAGATCCATTTAACCTTGAGTTCTTCGAAGAGGAGATGTGTCGCCGTCAGAAATTACTAAAGCCTTGTTGCTGACACTGTGCGGTACCCTGGGACCGTCCCCGAGGTGGTGTGGGAAGAGGGCGCAGAAGTGGTGGGAATGCATCCGCCCTCAGAGCCTCAGATGGATGCCCGTGGGGCTGGGTGAGCCTTGTGGACTGTGAAAATCCCAGGCAAAGGGCCACAGGCTCATGACAGGAACAGCAGCGAGGTGGCCAGCCGGCTGGACTCCGGCGTCCTGGGAGTAGAGGGCAAGCCCTGGGGCTCTGAGTGGTGGCGTGAGGGTCCTGTGGACTGAGCCACGTGCAGATTCAGGACCAGCGTCTGGTCTGGGGTGGGGGTCGGGGACAGACTCAGGAAAGCCACTGCACTGATGGAGCTCGTCGTCGGAGCCCGTCCTGCGTTAGAGGTGAGGCACTGGAGGGGGCAGTTCAGAAGGGCTCAGTTGGATCTGGGAAGGGAAAGTGATATGAAGAAGGAATTCCCGACAGATAGCTGGCTCATAGGTGGGAGTCTGTGTGAAAGGCTCTTGAGTTTACCTGTGGCAGGACTTCTGAAAGGCAGCAAGGGCCGAAGGGTGACCAGTGGGCAGGGCTTGGACCCATTTCAGCTCGAGTCATCTTCCAGGTACACTGCATCAGCACCGAGTTCACTCCCCGGAAGCACGGAGGTGAGAAGGGAGTGCCTTTTAGGATCCAGGTTGACACCTTCAAGCAGAATGAAAACGGAGAATACACAGATCACCTACACTCAGCTAGCTGCCAAATCAAAGTTTTTAAGGTGAGAGCTGGAAAGCAGGCTTCGAGGAAGTGAGGCCTGGCGTTGCTTGTGAAAGGTGCGCGTCCGAGGCCTGATAGATGAAAAGGTCTGCTTTGTTTTTAAGCCAAAAGGTGCAGATAGGAAACAAAAAACGGACCGGGAGAAGATGGAGAAGCGAGCCGCGCACGAGAAGGAGAAGTACCAGCCGTCCTACGACACCACGGTCCTCACGGAGGTAATGCGGCGCCCCCCGCTCCGAGGGGGCCAAGCGGTGCCCCCGGGCGCCACCGCGAGGATGAGTTTCAGCTGCGGAGGGGCCGGAAAGCTCGGGTGGTCAGTGGGCATAATGTTCTTGGTGAAATCTGCGGGGAAAATACTCTCTTTAAATTGGGGGAGTTTTAAGTGATTCGTTTCCTGGGTGGGGTCTGGAATGAAGATGCTGAAATCCCAGTCGGGTCTCGGAAGCAGACTTACTTTAAAATCCCCAAAGTTGGTTAGACATTAAGCCGGGACCCAGAACGTCCGATGTTTGTCACGTCTGGGGTTTTGCATCTTCCTAAAACTTCTGAATCCTGCTGGTCGGACGTTTGTTAAATCAGATGGCGGAGACATGAACAGGGTGTTAGATCTTTCTCTGTGTAACGAAAAGACATTGATCCCAATCTTTGGTGTTTGTCCAGATGAGGCTTGAGCCTATAATTGAAGATGCAGTTGAACATGAGCAGAAAAAGTCCAGCAAGCGGACTTTGCCAGCAGACTACGGTGATTCTCTGGCAAAGCGAGGCAGTGTAAGGGGCTTCTTCTCTTTTCATTGTGCAAGAAACCCTGTGCAGTGTTAGATATAGGACCGACTTCCACTGAAACCTAAAGCCAAATTCGTTTTTGATGTCCTTGTCCTGATTGAATTTGCTTTTGTTTAGACTTCCTGCTTTCTGCTGGTTCCTCACTGAGGACAATTTCCTAAATCTAACACTTTAAAACAAAGTTGACCATATTGGGTGGTTTCGGAGGGGGGAAAAAATGACACCCAGAATTGTGTTCGCTCCCTGCCTCCTTCCTGCCCTCCTCTCCCCTTCCCTCTCTCCTTTGCACACACACTCCCTTTATGAGCACTGACATTGACTGAACGTTCTTTTAGTAAAGTAGTTATTTCCGTGCAATTAAAAAAGGGTTTGTTTTCTCACGTGTGCAAGTCATAAGAAAATGTCATGGATGTTTAGAGAAATGACGGCAGCTAGCTTGACGTTAACGTATGCAGTCCTGTGTGTCCCACTTCCCTGCATTTGCGCAAGAATGTGTGTCTGTGCTTTGAAAAGCCTGTTCGGCGGCACTGGCGGAAAAGCGGCCTGGGACTGTGTTAGCGTTTCCTCTTGGCACCTGCATCGCGACCTTATGCTTCAGGCCAGCCTAGGGCACCTTGCTCCGCACTCAGCCTTGGTTCCCCACAGTGTGCAGTCCAGGGGGCCCTTGGTTGAATATGAACTTGTCATTTCATATTTCATCAAACAGTTGACAGAGGATTATCCTGTGCTATCAACTTAGATCATCTCTATACCTGCAGTAAATGGAAACAGAAAACATTACTTTTTAAAAATAGCTGTCATCATGTGTATTAATGGCCACTGTTTTCATCACTGCAGAGTTTGTGCTATCCAGGTGCCGAAAATGGACTTTCACCCTGACACGTGCATTGGTAATTAACTGTAGACTATGAAAGGCACAGGCACTTTCACAGGATTATTATTTCTGAAGTAAAGCATTGAGTGAAAATATTGTAAATGCTTCTGTACATAGTAAAACTGAAAGTGTCCTCTGAGGGGTGAGGGGGCCCCACACATGTTGCATTTTCTTTAAGTGGGTGTTTTGGATTCATAGCACAGGTTGAGTGGAACAACTGTATGCTCCTTTCCCTCAAACGTCCACCCCTCCAGTTTTATGTTTCTCTTCTCCTCATTTCACAGCTGAAGACACAAATGGCTCTCAGTAAACTTTTTGGGGGGAAGCCTGGTAACTCAAGTCACTTTCCCACTCTTGTTGTAAACTAACTAAAATGAATGGGTTCTGATTATAAATTAAATGTGGCATAGCCCCGATCTCATTTGTAGATAGTAGAATTTTAGGAATTCATGACTCTTGGGTCTGAAGTGTGCAAGTGTCAGCAGCAGAGCAGCGACCTGCCAGCAGACCGGCGCGTCCTCCCGGTGTGCATCGCCTGCTGCCCCAGACTGCGTTTGGCTAAGACTAGGGGGTACTTAGAGCTCTTCTTGGCCCTCCACCTCTCCGTTGGTCTTAACATCTGAGCTGTGATGCATGGGCTTGGATTTGGACTGTCAGGGCCTGCGGTCTGCCAATGGGTCCTCACTTTCTGTTCCTCCTGGGGACGGACTTTGTTCACAAGGGCACCAAAGGTGCCAGCCTGTGAGTCCAGGTCGGGCATTGCTGCAGGCTTGCTGAAGCAGTACCACTGCTTAAAAAGCAGAACCATTTAAAGCCAGGGAAGAACGACAAGGTAGAAGAAACACTGAAAACACTCCTTGGCGTGCCTGGACCCTCATAGGTCGAGACTAAGAAAAACCTATGAAACATGCAGGTGGGAGAGTCTTGACGTTTCATCCAGCCTGGCCGTTGAAGAACCTGGGAAATCTGTCTTTTCTAAAAGTAGAGGCCAGTTTGCATTGAGTGCTGCTTTTCCAGTGTTCAGTGAATCAAGTCTCTTAATTATTGGGCAAGTTTTAGATGTCAGTTAACAGCCCTACTTTTCTGATGCTAGACGAATCTAAATATGTAAAAGTGAGATAAGTATGTTGATGGAATGACAGTAAATTTGGTGTCTTTGCTGTACTTACTACCTGCCATGCTGACTTGAAGCTATTGATGGCTTCGTTTCCTTAGTTATATAGCTGGCAGTAATTACCAAAGCGGATTTGGGGAGACTCGGTAGGGAAAGGTCTAAGCTGTGTAGATATGCATGTTATGCTGTGTTGTTGGAGTTTGAATTGGGGAGGATGGTGTAGTAGGAAGGTCTGCCGCGGAGAGAAGGTGGCCATGAGCATTTGACACAAGCGAGTTAGGAGGCCTGTCAGGCGGCGCTCAGGGCCTTGTGTGCCTCATACTGTAGGTGCTGAGGAGGTCCTACTTGGCAAGCTGGAAAGAACAAAAGCCCTAGTTTGAAAAGAGCAGGCATTGGGAAAATGTCATGTATAGTGCAATTGGTATGACATGCCAGCAGTTTAGAATGGCATTGCAGCCAGGTGTGATGTCATTTAGATGTCAAGTTGATGACAGTTGAAACATCAAGTCTGCAGTCATTTTCCCTGCTTCTGAGGGGATGTCTAATGGGTAGTTGTGAAGAATGTTAAGATTCTGGGACTTCTGTTTTCGTTTTCACCCATGTTACTGATGGGTGTCAGACACGCTGTTGAGCTCCTGTAACCTTTGGGGAGACTTGGTTTCTGTCCTCAAGAGTCCTTCAGACTAGTGGTCTTGACTTCACACAAAAGAACTTTGAGAAAGAGTACAATTCCCTTGCACATTTTTAGATTGACATCTGAAAGTTTTCATCATAAATTTAAATAGTTGCAAAGGAAATAGTTTTCTGACATAGTGACTATATGTATGACTTCAGGTGAAGCCAGCACATTAACCTTCTAAGTTTGAAAGCTTGATGGCTCAAATGGTAAAGAATCTGCCTGCATTGCAGGAGACCCAGGTTTGATCCCTGGGTCTGGAAGATCCCCTGGAGGTGGGCATGGCAACCCACTTCAGTATTCTTGCCTGGAAAATTCCATGGTCAGAGGAGCCTGGCAGGCTATACAGTCCATGGGGTCGCAAAGAGTCGGATATGACTGAATGACTAACACTTTCACACTTAACTTCTTGATCTCATGTTTTCTCTTTCATGCCCCTTAAATAACTTTGTCCAAATAGGACATACTTTCATGCCTGAAAAACTTTAAAAAATCACCCTAACTACTTTTTTACCACAAACTTAATGTAAGTTGAAATTTCATTTTTAAAAGTTCCTATGACCATTATAAAGCTTAAATCAGTTGAGGAATTTAAAACTTCTTATTATTTGTACCAATTTATCAGAACAAAAAATCATACACATTTTGATGAGTAATTGCTAAGTATAAAAATAGAAATGTTATTGGAAATATATTTTGAATGATGAAGATAGAACACACTTACTATAAATTTTTTGTAGATAAGAGAAACTTTGTTTAGATACATTTTTCTTTTCAGCAGTGTGTCATTCAGGCCTTGGAACTCCTTCTGAGATACCTGCCAGAAATTCCAGTGATCTCTTTTTTGTATGATCTGATGGATCCATCTCAGTGTCTGTCAGCTGAGCAGATGTCTTCCAGAATTATTTTGAAAGTAAAAAGTTGAAAACCCCTTGACATGCAGGAGTTTTTTAGAGTCATGTACTTCCTCAGTATCCATCCTAGTATCTTTGAATGGTCTTTAGCCCAGCTTTTGGCAGAGTCTTGTACCCTGCAGCCGTGGTGAGAGGAGGCCTTTCTATATCAGTTGGGAGGAGGTGATAACGACAGTGGAGCCTGGAAGCCGGGGGTGTAGTCACCCCTGGAAAGGACACCCGTGGCGTGGATGGAGCCCCTCCGTCCTCAGCACTCTGACCTCCCGCGCAGCATGTCTCAGCTTCAGCTTTGTCAGTGCTCCTAACTGTACGGTTGACGTGGCTCCGGATCTTTGGCTCTGTGTTTGGTCAGAAGCGTGAAAAACACTGAAGTCCACTCCGCCCCTTCCAGACGACATGCACGCATAGCTAGATGGCTGCAGGCAGGACCGTCTGCGGTTCTGGTGTTGTGACCCTGGGCCTGTCCGTCTTACTCGGGGCGTCCACCCAAGAGAGGAAGTGCCCGGTGCCGGGGCCTGCTCCTGGGGAGGCGGGCGAGAGCCGCCCCGAGGGACAGTCGCGTGCCTGTCAGCACGTGGCGTGGGTGCTTCCGAGCCCGTGCTTGCCTCTGCTGTCCTTCAGACCTGATAGGTGCCTCCTGAGGGGTGGAGGAAGCCAAGGTGGGCGTCCTCAAAGTCACAACGTAGCGACACTTAAGTGCGCATCTGAAATGCCCTCAGGAAAGCTGGCTGCTGTCCTCAGTCACCTCAGGGCCGTCTGAGAGTAGTCAGGGTCTAGAGGCCACAAAACGGGAAACATTTCCACTGACATGCACACACACACATGCACGCACACGCGCGCGCGCACAGAGTCAGTCTGACATGTTTCTGTGAGGTTGCTTGATGATGTCAGGTGTCTTGTGTTTTCATGATCTTGCATTTGGCCAGAGTAGAGAGTGAATTACAAGACTGTCTCTGCCGCATCCCGGAGAAGCGAATCATTCACGTATCTTCGTTTCTACCCGCAGTGCTCTCCGTGGCCCGATACCCCCACAGCCTACGTGAACAACAGCCCGTCCGCAGCCCCCGCCTTCACGTCCCCGCCGCAGAGCGCCTGCAGCGTCCCGGACAGGTAGCGGTGTGCGTGACGCGCGGGGCCCCGGGCTGCCTCGCTCCTTAGCTCCTCTCTAAGTCACGGCAGCCTTCGGGTGTGTGTCTGGGGTACCTGGTAATTAGAGACAGCCTGCTGCTGAGCAAAATCGTCTTTTCTTCACCTTTCAGCTTTTTCCTTCCTAGTCCCTGTGCCTCACACACTCACAACTGTGGGACTCAGAAAAGGGTGCACTTTGAAGATATCTTCTTTGTGCAATAAAAACAACATTGATGAGGTCATGGGTAGGGAGAAGACTGAGTTGTTAAGGGGAGACTGACTTGGACAGGTTACGGCTGCGTTTATGATAAGGTACACTGGTCTTTGATGCTCACCGTGTCAGACGAGGATTATTTTCTGCCCTGTTTCTTCCCTCTCCCAGAGACACTCATTTTATTAAGTCGTTAAACTTAGAGGAAGGACTTTTCATTTCTAAAGACTTGTTCTGGTTTTAGAAGTGGGAATAGTGGACTTTATTCATCCCCTTTTCTGGCCCGTCAGCAGCAGCACCTGGTGAGTAGTTGGATCAGAAGGTCCTCACTCTCAGGATGTTCCTTACTGGGAAGGAACATAACTTTCATAATCGGGCTAAAACCATAGAGGAGAGAATTCCCCGTCAGCCCAGCGGTTAGAACTCAGTGCCCCGCTGCGGCCCGCGTCCGGCCCCTGGTCATGAGGGTCTCAGGAGCCGCGCGGTGCAGCCAGAAGAGGGGAGGCGGCTCTCCTTTTTACACTCCGCGCTGACAAGGTCGGACCCGGCTCAGGCTGCCGTCATTACACGCCACGGACTCAGTGGCTTATGAGCAACAGGAGGTCGCTCCTCCTGGTCTGAAGGCTGGACGCCAGGTCTAGGGCCTGCAGGGTGGTTCTGGTGAGCAGTGTCTCCCGGGCCACGGGCCGCCAGCCCGCGTGCTCCCTGCTGGTGAGCAGAGTGCAGGAGGCACACGCCCACGCCACTCACCAGGTCTCCGATCCCTCTCCTGGGGTCCACCCTCACGCTCCACCCACTGCCCATTATGTCCCAAAGGCCCTCCTGCTATAGTGTCCATCACACTGCGGGTAGGTGATTTTCTGAGGGAACATGAACATTTAGTCTAACGGTCTGGTGAGGGAAAAAGAAGGGGAAGAAAAAGGCCTTTTCCCTGAGGAGGTGGATAGATAAGAGGCCACTTGTCTCCACGTAGGTTACTGTGGTTCAGGAGAAGGTCACTCTTGGACTTGGGACCAGCTTCTACCACAGAGGGGACTGAACAGTCTTAGAAAGCTACGAGAGGAGCGGAGAGATCACGTGCATGCTGGCTCACCAGATCTTTCCTGGGACCCCACTGTGGTCCCCACGCTGTTTGGGGTGCTCTGAGATGAGTGAAGCCCCATCCGGAGGAGCTCAGGCTCCAGTGGGCGGGGGACAGTGAACCGGCGGCATGATGGACCCGAGAAGCTGGGGTGCGGGGGCTGAGATGGGACCCGGAAGGCAAATGTCCCCCCCCACGCAGCTGCCCTCATTCTTCCCGGGAAACAAGGATGGCGGCTCACATTGGTTCCTTTTGTTCTCTTGCATTTCACCCTCTTTAATGGTGGATAAATGTATTTATTAAAGGGATTTTCTATTTTGGCTTAGGTTCGTTTAGATCATTTCGTATAGCTCATTATTAAAGTAGACTCTTTTTGCTGTTATTTTCCACTGTTTACCTTACTTGATTCTCATATTTTTTCCCTAACGAAAATAAATGAGAATCCTTCATTTTCCTGGCACCCCTGGAAATGGAACCCTTGTGTTTCATGACACTTGACTTCCTTGCTAAAACAGATGGAGAAGCCAGAAGTGAAACCATCTTCTGGTGTCTTAATCTTTTGGGGTTTTTTTTGCCACAATTGTGTGGTTTGTGAGATTTTTAGTTCCCAAACCAGGAGTCAAACCATGGCAGTGAACACACCAAGTCCTAACGACTAGGCCACCAGGAAACTCCCTTGTCTTGATCTTATCGTCATACTGACTCCCTGATCTGTTGTGCAGGTTGCTCTGTCCCATGGTGTTATTTTAAATTCACCTAGTATCCTTTAATGTCTTGATTAAAATAAATATATAACAATCATCCTTTTCTTCCTTCCTTCCTTATCCCCAGCAATTCTTCTTCCCCAAATCATCAGGGAGATGGAATTCCACAGGCCTCTAGTGAAGTAAGTGTCTTTACCCTAACCTGTCATGCATTCAGGATGCGGCATTGTGAAGCCTCTGACGGGGGTGTGAACCGTTGTTTGGGTCACCGAATAGTCACACCTCTGCTCTTTGTGGGTGTGTTAAACTTTAAACCTGTAGGATTTCTCTGTTGTGTTTAAAAGTCCTTCTTTGTAACATGCCAGTGACTCGGGTGGGTTTTTTTGGTAAGTCTAAATAGTTTCTTCTGTGTATGTTCATTTTCTTTGCTGACAGCAGCTGCAGCCTTCAGCCACGATCCAGGAAACCCAGCAGTGGCTGCTCAAACACAGATTCTCTTCCTACACAAGACTGTTCTCCAATTTTTTAGGTATGTTTGTATTTGTGTACACGCACACATACACTGTTTACTTATTTGTTTCTGGACTATTATTAGCCTTAATTGAATACTGCAGCAGAAACTGTATATAGAATCATAAGTTGCCCAAGTCTGTGTGGGGAGGTCCTGTGTCCCCCCAGCGTCCCCAGTGGTGGCATCTTGGAGACCCTTAGTGTGGTATCAGAACAGGAACTCGATGCTGCCTCACCTGGTTTACATGCCCTTGTTTTTATATAGGTGTAAATGGGCATGCACAATTTTTTTCACTTTATTAACTTTATGTAAAATTTGGCTTTGCGTAAGTTGCAGAGATAACACAGACGTTCCAGTGCGCCTTTTACTCAGCTCGTTACATAGTTGCAGTACGATATCAAAGCCAGGAATTGGCATCGGTGCCATGTGTGTACGTGGTTCTGTGTCGTCTCTATCACATCTGTAGGTTCGTATAACCACCACCACCGGAGTCAGCGTACAGAATACTAATGCCACCACAGGGGTCTCCTGTGTACCCAGTGCCCCTCTCCCACCATCCCTAACATCTGGCAACCATTCATCTGTTTTCTGTCTCCATGATTCTGTCATTTTGAAAACATTACATAAATGGAATCATACAGCATGTATCATACAGTTACCTTTTCTCCCAGCATAATGCCCTCACATCCATCCAAGATGTGGTATCAGTTGTTCCTCATCATTGCTGTGTGGCTTTACATGATAGGAATGTGCTCAGATATGGAATTTTATAGGCACGATTTCTCTTGCCTAGTAAGCTAAGGAAGTATTTAGATGGAATGGTAGAGGGGACCGGCAGTGCTGCTTCCGGGGTGCTGTGGGAAGCCCGCCGGGAGGCGCAGTAGTGATGCTAGACATGCTCAGCCCTGGGCCCTTTGCCTGCAGAACACCTCCTGACATGTCCCGGCCAGGCTCCTGGGCCACAGGAAAGCGGCAGCTGGCTCTCCCGGCCCCGTGAGAGAGCAGAGCGTGCGTGCACCCAGCTGCCCAGGGTTTCGGAAGGCGGCTCCTGCCTGCTCAGCCCTTCCTGCTGTGCTGGTGCCCTGACCAGTCCTTCCTCGGGCAGCACTGTCTCTTTAAAATGAAAGTGCTGGGTTTTTTCTCACTGCTAGCGAGATCCACACTTTCAGGATTTATCTATGGAAAAGCTAAACACTTCCCTGTGTGTTGGGGAGGAGGCCCCGGATGCTCACAGGGGAACCGGGAAGGGCGCCGAACCCTGGGAAGGCCCTGCCGGCGGCCCAGGTTCCTGTTCTGTAGTTGGGTGAGTGCTGCTCACTAGGGCGTGGCCGCCCGCCGTCTGCTTCCCCACAGTAGAGGTGCGGAGGAGGCGGCCTCCTGCTCCGAGCCCGTCGGGCGCTTCGGAGAGGCCCGCGGGGCGCCTGTCCAGCTCCGTGTGGGTGGCGGCTGGCTCCCAGGCCGCTCATCGCCGCTCCTGTTGGCAGGGGTGCGGGATCGGGTCAGGATCATGTTACTCCTCAGAGGCACCACTCAGCCAGAGCAGGCAGGCACGGCAGTCCGGCGCTGGGAGCAGTCCGTCCTGTCAGCCGTGCTTGTCGCTCTGATTCACCCGCCTCTGGGCTTCCGAGCTCCTCCTCCACACAGGATGAGCGAGCCAGCACCCCGTGTCTGTGGCGGTCATGGGGGTGTGCGCACATAAGCGAGCCGCGATGGGGCCGAAGGACGTGAACTGAAGACGGGCGCCGCCAGCCTGCCCTGCTGGTTCTGCTCCCGGGTCCTTGAGAAGATTCTCTTTTCGCTCTTCTCCAGGTGCCGACTTGTTAAAACTGACCAAGGAGGACCTAGTGCAAATCTGTGGTGCAGCCGATGGGATTCGGCTCTATAATTCACTGAAGTCGAGGTAAAACACAGTGTTTAGGAGGAGCTGGTATGCTTGAAATACCAATGTGCCCTTGTTCGCGCGGGGCCTGTGGGCAGGCTGTGCCACCATGGGCGCTGGCCCGCCGCGCTTGCCAGGAGACTCGTGGGCACCTTCAGGCGGGCCCCGAGGGCAGGGCAGACTCTTAAAAATGCACGTGGGAGGACTGAGGTTTGTTGCCGAGAAAACACACTTCTCCTTTAGGTGAGCGCTAGAGTCTATGGTTTTCAAGGTCATGTGACACTAAACAGTTGTTTAAAACGTAAGCTTCTAATTGTGATTTTAAAATGATAGAAATGTAAACTGTGTTGGCTTTTAAGATCCATATACTATCGCTGCTGTGTCTAGATTTGTGGCGTGAGAACTCCATTAAACTGAGTTTTACTGATGTTAAACTGCTGACATAATGCTGAAACTTAAATACCAGCATGACTGTCTCAATGGTTCGGAGTCTGGATCGTCAGATTAGACCACCTGTGCTAGCCTGTGATAGCTGGGTGTGCGGTGTGTGTTTTTATATTCTCACCGGTGAATTACTTCTATAATGAAGTAACCTCGTCGAGTCCTAAGGAGCCCCCTCTGGCGCCCGCGCAGCGGCCCCTGCGCAGCGCCTCCTGCGCAGCGCCTCCCCGGCTCACGAGCGCCCTCTTCCGGTTGCAGGTCCGTGCGGCCCCGCCTGACCCTCTACGTCTGCCGCGAGCAGCCGGCGCCGCAGGGGCAGCAGCAGGCGGCGGGCGGGGGCGACAGCGGCAGCGCCACGCCCTTCGGTGGGTACGGTCGGTGGGTATTGGGTACACTCTGCTTGACGTCACTGCCCTGCGGAGTGGGGGCGGCCGTTGAGAGGCAGCGCCCTTCCCGGCTGTTGGCGTCCTTTCGTCTGAGAGAACCCTGCCCCGGAGCTCCTGACCCCGGCTTGGCTTTCATCAGCAGCGAGCAGGACCTGCGGGGGCCGGTCCCCGCAGGGGTGCCGTCTCGGTGGGGCCCAGGGCTTCTCTGCAGCCAGCAGCCTCCTGGGCCTCGGGGCCGCTTCCTTAGCGTCTCATGCTGTCTTTCACACTGTTCTGAATCCTTTGGGGGACACGAAGCTTTTATCCTTTAGGATAAATTTCCAATAGTAGGTTTACTGAATCAAATACTGTGACCTCTTTGGATTCTTTTTATATATTGCTAGAAACACTATTTTTGAAAACAGCTTTCTTTTTCTATAGTTTATATATCATAAGATCCTTCCATTGCAAGTATACAATTCAAGTGTAGTATGTCTACAATTCGCAGCCATTGCCAACACCCAGTTTTAGTCTCATTGCTCCACAACGCGCCTCCGTGCCCATCTGTACTGTTCTGTTTGCTTTTAATAAAAATTATACCCACAGATATTTTTGTACAGAGGTTAATGTTAATTATATGTGTGTGCATAAATAATATATTTAAATGGGTAGTAAGGGGGAAATACTCATCTTTTTTGTATCTTCTTTTTTTAGTACTTTGAAAGGTGTGACTTTCCTATAGATCACGTGGAAAACAGATCAGATGACTGCTAAAATGCTGTTTGTATTTTTTATTTCAGTTTATCATGCAATCTACTTGGAAGAAATGGTTGCCTCAGAAGTTGCTCGAAAACTTGCGCTGGTGTTTAATATTCCTTTCCACCAAATTAACCAGGTTTACAGACAGGGTCCCACTGGTATTCACATTCTTGTTAGCGATCAGGTAACTCACACGCCCTTTGCTCCTTCACACTGGTGTTTGCTTTTGTATGTATTGCTGAAGAGCTGTAGGAAAACCCCATGGCCTCTTTTGCCAGTGCTCATGAGTCACTTTCAGAGTTGGGAATCAATATTGGGAGGAGTTTATAATCAAGAGTTCAGGTGTCCTGGGTGGTAGAAGGAATACAGAGTGAGGACCATGGCTCAGTTCCCACCGTCTTTGAACTCTGGCATCGGTCACTGGGAGACTCCAGCTTCCTGGGGCTTTGGCCCTTTTTATGTAACAGTGAGGCCTTTGAATGGGTTTTCCTATTTGATGACTGGTTTTAGAAAGCAGGTTAGGAGAGCAGTTCTCCCCCATCCCGTGTTCCAGGAGAAGCAAGCGGTGACAGAAGTGCACCTGTGGCAACTTTTTGTTCGTGTCTCTGTCCGAGAGCCCGGCAAGGACTGCCCCCCGTTGGCCCAAGGGTGAGGGGCCAGACCGCGGGGACCCCTGAGAGTAAGAGGCCAACAGAGGGCAGGCCGCATGCGAGGTGTAGACCCGTCGCCTCACACAGCCTCGTGAAGTGCTGTTTGACTTGAGACCTGCGCTTGTGCAGCCATACATACGTGTTTATATTTTTCTTTCACTAATTTTAATCTTTCCTAATCAGTTAAGACAGCTGTATATTAATTATGTGTCTGCTTTATCCTTCTAGATGGTTCAGAACTTTCAAGATGAGAGTTGTTTTTTATTCTCCACAGTAAAAGGTACTTTGCATGTGTATGTGTGTCTTGAAATGCTAGAATCATGAAAGATGGTGTGCCTGAAATCAGCGGTCATTTTGATGACCCGTGTCATCTTGTGTCTGACTTTGCTGGCTTTACCAATCTTAAGTTTGAAAAACGAATTGAGACACTGTCTAGTGACAGAAGCAGAAATTAGCAAATAAGAGGAGTCCGTCCTTCTGGATGCCTAGAGAAAAATCCCAGTCCATTCAGCCAACATTTCACTGAGCACCTCATGTCAGACCTGCTGTCAGTGCTGGAAAGGTCTATCCCCTCCTCTGGTGGGGAAAGCAAACCAGAAGAGGTCAACAGATGCCCACAAATGACAAACACGGAGCTTGGCTGCCATGTGGGGACGGGGAAGTGTGGTGCTCATGGACACAGGCGTCTGGGCTGGGGGATGCAAGGCGTTAGGCTGTGTCTGAGGAGCAGCACCCAGGCGGGGCTGGGCTGCTCTGGAGGCCTGCGGCTGCCGTGCAGGGAAGGGCAGGCAAAGCAGGAGCCAAGTCCAGTAGGCAGTGTAGTGGCAGGAGCTTAGGTTTTCTTTGAAAGGCACTGCAAAGTCAGGGATTTGTTTGTAAACGAACAATAATGTGAGTAGGTTTGTCTTTTCTTCCACTCTTGCAACTCTGTAGACAGAGAAGGTGGGAGAAGCGCAGGCAGGAGGTGTCATAGACCAGAGGTGAGGGGGTTTGGACGGTGACAGGGCCTGCCGAGCTCCGCCCGGGATGGGGAGCAGCTGTGACCCTCACAGGAGCCCTGCGCAGGCATGGTCACGGTGGAGGGGGAGTGCCGAGCGCCTCCGACCCTCTTCCTTTGGGCCGAGGTGTGACTTGGAACAGAGGGTCGCTGTGGATGCCGGCAAAGCGGTGGACGAGAAGGCAGCTGGAGCTGGCAAGGTTCCCCCTCTGCCTGGCGAGCTCAGCGGCTACGTGAACATTATCACCATAGTCTTAAATCGGTGGTGGAAGAACAGTCTCAGAGCTATTTGTGTCAGTTGGTCATTTAATAGTAAAAAGTCTGCTATAACAATGTATCATATAATGATAAAAATGTATCAAAACTTTCAGAAGGAAAGCAGACTTGCGGACCATCTGTGTGTGGCAATTTTTAAAATCAGTACTTTTTAATGTAAACAACTTGATTAAATGTCAGAATTTGAGACCCATTAAAAAATAAGTTTGTGAAAAGTTGAGACTTCATTTTAGGACATGGAAATGTCGAGTTAATTCTCCCTGCTGGGGCTGGCAGGAGATACCTGGGTTTCAGATCTAAGTTAATTCGGTGATTCAAAGCCGTAGAAATCCTTGAGGTTATGGAGGTAAAGAATGTGCAGAGCAGGCCCAGATGGGGTTCAAGAGAGTTCCAATTAAAGGTTAAAAGAGGGTTTCTTAAATGCCAAGTTATTATGAGAGGAGACCTTTAAGATCTAAATCCAGTCTTGGCAGGAAAGCTGCACCTCAAAGAGCAAGATGTCCTGTGTCACTTTCTTCTGGTAAGTTACTCAGAACAGTAGCCCCCCTTGAAGTGAGGGGCTGAATTGAGGACTCAGCCTGCTGGACGCGTCTCAAGCCTTCGGGTTACCTGCAGGGGCTGTTTAGACTGTGAACTGACCCGCTGTTTTCTTTACACAGCCCTGTTAAGACTAGTACCCTTTTCCCAATTTTTCATTCTCAAAGCAATAGTGTTTAGTCTGCAAAACTGACACCGTCTGTAACAGGTAGTTCACAGAGTGTCTGTCTAGCGTTAGGCATCACAGGATGCCCCTCCCATCTCAGTGTCCTGTTTTTAGACGTTTGTCCTTATGAAAAATTTCATTTGTTCCTTGATGAATGCCTGTACTGCTCCTCGCCATCTCCTGAGAAACACTAGGCCAGCAGGCAAAGCTAGTGATTATTGTTTCCAGGAAAGGTAGGTATAAGCACCCGGTTTATTCGATGGTCTCTGCCCTGTGCTTAGATAAGCGGCAGAGGGAACGTGGACATGATGTTTTAGGGAGGAGGGGCTGGAGCAGGTTACTCAGCCTTTTCATTTGCTTTTTTTTTTTTTTAATGAATTATGTTTTTAAATTTATTTTTAAGCAAAGGATACTTGCTTTACAGTATTGGTTTCATTTCTGCCATACCTGTGTATGAACTAGTTCAATTTAGTCTTGATTCTCTGGCCTGGTTAAAAAAGTTGAGCGTTAATGTCCCTTCCTTTCTCCACAGCTGAAAATGGTGGTGGCGTCCACATCATTTTGAAGTGACGTCCTCCGTAGTCTGAACTCTATTCAGCACCAAATAAAAGTCATGCTTAAAAGTGTGTGAAGACTGAATCCAAGAAGTCTTGGGATTGGATTTTACCGTATGAAATGTTTCATATTGAAAACATAGGATGACCTTCCTAATGAGCTGGACGAGAGGCGCACCTGCCCCGCGGCCCCGCAGGTAGGCCGCCTGCCTCTCTGCCTGAGAGGCCAGCACACACAGGTCCAGAGCAGCCTTTGCTGTCTTTTTACACTGTATGCGGTTTGGAGATGAATGTAGACGTACTGTGGGCATTGACATTTCTGGGCCAGTGTGGTGTCTGTGGCCTGGACCTTATGCTGACTTGGGGGGGGGGGGGTGGGAAACGGGCCGCCGCGGACACGGGCCGATCGGTGGTCAGGGGAGAGGCGAGGCGCCTTCTCGGAAAAATGATGTCTAAGGGTGTGCGTCTGTCATGATCATGCCGGATCAGGAGGATCCAAGCCAGGAAGACGGGCTTGAAGCAAACTGCATTATCAAGAGTACCTTGGTGAGAGGATCAGTGTAAATCCTAATAGGTACAAAGACTTCTGTGTTTTTGCTTTGTCACAGATTTATTGAAAAACTTTTTGCTTCTGCTTTCATTTTTAGCATTTGTTTCTGGTTTTCATTTTTGAATCCCCAATGCCTTTTAAACTCATGTGGTTTTCTTTCTCCTTTTTCTCTGTCTCCAACCACTTAGCAACCGCCTCCCCCGACCCCCTTTTCCTGTTAAACATTTTTTTAAAGCCCTGTTCCAGACGTTGGAAATTACACCCAAGCAGGAGAAAACAGTGTGATAGTTTGTAACTTGGTGTTAAGGGGGTCTTCATTATCAGGAGTTGAAATTATTCTTGGAACACTAGACATCACAAACACTATCTTGCACCATCAAAATTCCTTACTTCTCAAATATTGAGCTTTAGTACAATCATGGGTAACATTCTAGTGATTATTTAGGGACTTTTATACACCACATAATAGCTTCTTTTTCTATAAAAAGAGTGCCTCTTTCACAAAACCAAATGCTTGTCGGCCAGTATACTTTTAAAAGGGAATCACTGTTTTTTGCTATTTTTTCTACTATCTTTCTCTCTTCCCTTCACCCAAAGCCTTCCCAAAATTCATCAGCAAGCATTTGAGGCCTGTGGTGTACTAGACACAATTAAAAAATCAAAACACTTCGATTGCATTTTAATTATACCATCTCTATTTACCCAGTGTCTGGGTTTTGAATGTTTTATTTGATGCTTGAGTTTGAAATCTCTCCCAAAAGACAAAACTATTCCAGTGGGTAAAAGCTTTGTATTTTGTTTTATTCATAAAGGGGGTTAATTTGATATTTTTAAGAAAGTACTATCTTTAAATACCCCATCTCTGGCCTGAAAATACCCCTCACCTGTCTAGACCCCGAGCCGGAGAGCTTTCCTTCCGTCACTTCCCCTCTGCTTTCGCTAAGCCCACAGGTTTTCTGTACCAATCACTTGGGAAAGAAGTGAGCTCTCTCTTCATTGTTTTAGAGTTTTGCTTGTCTATTTAGCATTCCTTTTTGAGTCTCAAGATTTACGGAACAATAAACGTCATTAATGCTGTGTGCTATTTTGAATTCATCAGGTTTTTACAAGTGGGGTTTAAAAAAAAAAAAAGCTCGTCAAACTTGAAATTACACCAAGCAGCAATGAACATGAGTCTGTCCCAGTGAAATAGGTTAAATTATGGCACCAGCAAATTTGCTACTTTGTTTTTTTAATAGTAGGATGTACACATTTCAGTATAATAAATGTTTTCCGATTGTTTTTGCAAATGTGTCTCTCATTTAAAATCCAAGTTCCTGCCAGTGTCAGTTCATGTCATAGAATCAAGGGGCTCACTGTGTATGTTCTGAGTACACCAGTCCAAATGTCGTTAGAAGAGCTGGTGGGGGGTGTTTTCCTTGTGTTGTTTTCTCAAAGCAAATGCAACTGAGGACAGGTCATCCAGCGATTGTTCCACACTTACATTTTAAAGAGGAAGCAAACCTGATTTCCTTAACAGAGGTCCTGCTGTTTTGTAATTGCAGTCCTGTGTCATTCAGCCAGAGTCCAATAGCTTTGAGAGGTTGTGTCCGAGCTCAAAAGAGATAATGTATAAAAGGTCCTGGTCATTTAAATTTTTAAAACGGAAACTATACTCACAGCTTTCTGCAGCACCCATTCCCCCCATACACAGTGATATAAATGTATATTTCAGTAACTGCTATGGTATACACACAATTTTTAGATCAGGAAATACCAGAGTATATAATGCTGCAAAATCACCAGAACTAATACTTTTTCTGATAATTGTCTTAATTGATTTATCTGTCTGCCTTCTCTTCCCAGAATGCAACTGAGGTCTTGTATTCTAATCACCTAATAGAACCCTAACTCTGTTAGAACTATTGCTGGTTGTGGGGAAATTTCTCTTTTGGTTCTCAGGAGCTGTCTGGGCTTTTAAGTTTGGTTGCTAAGAAGGATTAGCACAGAGGTTCAGTGAAGGTCACAGTCTGGACAGCACAGAGTAGAAACCAGATCCTTATCAGATTTCAGATAACATTAGAATGCCTGAGTTTGGAAAATGCTTTTGGTCAGATATGTCTGCCGCAAGATAATAGCAATAAACCCTCTGACTTAAGCACTGTGGCGGCTTTTATTAATTTTTATCTGAGTCTCAAAGGTGCCAACACTTCACTGAGCTGAGTTTTAAGTGTGTAAAATTTTTGAATAGTTCTGGTGTAACTTAATTTCTAAGACTTAAAATAAACTTGGAAAAAACCACACCCATTCTACATGCATCTATCATTTTTAATTGATTATAGTATGGATAACTTGAGCCCTAAATTCTTTTTCTTTAAGGTCCCCCAAATTCTGTGAGAGATGACACGATTAGCTCTTTAACAAAAACACGTTTTGCGCTGCCACCTACCCCAGAGCTTATGATTTCTAATCAGGCAGCACAAAGTCTGAGTTGCTTTTGTTCAGTTTCTGGTCCCCAAGAGGACCTAGTTGAGAGAAAGGTGGAGACCCTGCTCCACCCTTTCTAGAGGCCTCATTCTTTGGTGTCTCATGGAAACCTATTACCTTGCCTTCCAAGTAAGTCTCCAAATACAAAACTGTCAGGCATTGTGAATTTGCAATATAGTTACTTCAACAAAGTTGCTATTTTAACCTTCAAAGTGGAAAAGTCCTGCTAATCAAAATGGACTCGTGAATAAAAGGAGGTCATTGGCTTAAGTATCAGGTAGAAAACCAACAGCTTATTTTTCTGCTCCATTTGTGCTGACGCTGACAGTCTGTTGAGGAACGCTGGCAGAGCGGAGGGTGGGGGGTTTGCACCTAGGGCAGCACCACCTCTTGGGAGATCCAGGTTTCCTGTGTGCTCCCGCTGCACGGAGACCGCCCTGGCTCTTTGTCAACCGACACACACAAGGCTTTGAACTGACTGCATCACAGCAGAGCAAAGGTAAGAACTATCAGCAGAATTACCGCGGTCCCTGCAGTCTTTTACCTGTAAACGCCTCTCTCACTGGAGGATCAGCAGAGCTGGGTGACGGCGGAGAACGGCATGCGGTCCTCCGGCGGGCGGCCGTCAGAGGATGACACAGCACCTGCAGAGCCGCTGCCCGCCGCCTCCCACGGCCGGCGGCGGGGTGACGGGGGCAAAGTAGGCATGGACTTTGACGTGAGGGAGCTGCGCCTGAAAGTGACGGGAAGTGCATCGTCCTCAGACCCGTGGGCAGCAGGGCAACTACCCGCGTAATCCCAGAAAAGCCCACAGCTCTCCGTGTAGAACTAGTTCATTCCAGCGTTCGGCACATCGCCTCAATGGAATTGGCGGTGTGCGCTAAAGCTGCTCCTGTGTGATCCCCCCGGAAACCACCTTCTGAAGCTGAGAGGCGCTTCCCGTCCCTGTGTGCAAGCCCAGCGGTGACAGGGAGCGCCGAGGCCTGCTTAGGGGCCACGTGCAGAGCTACCGAACTTCTGAGATGCTCCAGAGCAACCAGGTGGGCGACCCGGGGGAGGGACGCCACCACTAAGGCTCTTTACCTGGAAGTGAGCAAAGGTCAAGCCTACTGAGAACGCCTTCTGTGCTTTCGCCCAGACCCATGCTAGAAGCTGAATCTTCAGGGTGGACGCTACTAAGGAGATTCTGAAGAAGTCTAAGGAGGTAGTTGGCGTAACTCGGCCCCAGACTCCCCCCAGACGGGGGAAATGGAGGCTGACTCTCCGAGCCTGCTGTCGCCTGAGCGGCGCTGCCGGGCCCAGCGGCTGCCCCGCGCTCACCCGCATGCGCTTGATGCCGGCTCGGGTGACCTGCTGGCAGTCGTAGAGCTCCAGGCGCTGCAGGCTGCGGCAGTGCTCCAGGTGCTCCAGGGCCGCGTCGGTGATGAGCAGGCAGTTGTCCAGCTCCAGCACCCGCAGCCTCTCGTGGCCACAGGGGCTGTTGCTCAGGTGCAGGATGCCGTCGTCCGTGATGAGCTCGCAGTGGGACAGGCTCTGGAAGGAGAGGAGGCGCAGTGTCTGCAGGAGCCACGGCTTGGGAGGCTGGGCCTGGGGGCAGCGGCCTCTCTCATCGTCCCCCCCGGGGTAGGGATGGAACCGACACTGCAGGGGACGGTCCACGCCGAGAGGACCCTGAACTCACCTCTTCCCGCAAACAGCGAGTCTACAGCTACACAGGGACCAGCTGCCTCCGGAAAAAAACACAAAAACCAGCTGGCCAACCTCTCCACGTTGGGCAGAGGAGAGGAGCCGATGTAAGTGGGCAGGGGAGGCCGCAGTCTGTCATGAACCCCACCCCTGAGGCCAGAGACCCCCCCATCAGGAGGGAACTCAAAACCTGGAGTTTCTCACTGAACCCCACACTGGGCACCAGCGTCTCCCAGAGGGGAGGTTTTATAGCTGCCTGTGCCCCCGTCTTCGTATATGGGCTGCTCCTCGCTCACCTGACCCTGACGGCCCAAGGGGGCTCGTATTCCCGGCTCTCTCGGGACTTTTAACATGAGAAGAGACTCCTGGCAGACTACCACCCCAGGCACTGTGCAGACAGCAGGCCGAGACGCCCCGTCTTTCTGGCAAGAGGCCCCCAGACGTGCCCCCAGCCAAGGCAGGCAGGTGGCTCGCCCTCTGCCAGGCCCCCAGACAGGCGTTTACACCCTCCTCTGGAAAACGACCACCCGGGTCACGGAGCTGAAGAACAGCCCTGAACTAAAAAGTACAGCAGAGAGTTCCAAGAGCAGACTGGATGAAGCAGATAAAAGGGTCAGTGACTTGAAAAACTGGTAGTGAAAATCAGCCAATTAGAGCAGCAGAAAGGAAAAAAATACAGTCTAACAGACTTACAGGACCGCATCAAGTGGACTGACATTCTCATTATAAGGGATTATAATCAAAATGTGAAAAGTTAAAGAATCTTAAAAGCAGCAAGAGAAAAACAAGTTGTTATGTGCAAGGGAATTCCCATAAGACTATCAGCAGACTTTCCAGGAGAAATTTTGCAGGCAGGAAATTTTGCCCCCTGAATGGAGGGGCACTATCTAAGTGCTGAAAGAAAGGGATAAACTATTCCAACCAAGAATACCAGCAAGGTTATCATTCAGAATTGGGGGAGAGGTGGGAATTACCTGTGGTCCACCGATTAGGACCCAGGGCTTTCACCACCAGGGCCCAAGTTCCATCCCTGGTTGGGGAACTAAGATACCTCGAGCCACACAGCGCAGCACACGCCACCTTACAAGATGTGTTAAAGGGACTCTGTTAAGCTAAAAAGGGCACTAATTATAACAACATATATGAAAGCATAAATCTCACTGGTAAAGGCTATAATAAATCAGGGTGAAAACTAAAACTTTTGTAGTAGCAAAGTAATACAGCTTTTATTGGCTATAATTCTTTACTCTCTAATATAATAGCTAAAATTCTTGGGTAGCTTCTAGGAGCAATGAGCTGCATTAATATTTTTTAAAAGTCAAAAAAACTGGCTCTGGTACTAAGGAAACCAGCCCCCTAATGTCACTGAAGCCCGCTGATGACACATCCTGCAGGCTGCGGACTGAAAGAACGAGGAGGACCCCTAACCTCTGCACAAGCTTCATGAGCTCCTCTGGGTTCTCCTGAATCTGGAGCCCCCTTGTCTGCATCCACTGCCCTTTCAGATTGCCTTCTAGATTCAGGTTTTTGAGAGGACAAAGCCTGTCCTCCCGAGAATCACAGAGCAGCTCCTTGAAGGGAGGAGGGGGTGTATGCACACACTTGCCTCATTCGTGTGAAAAATGAAAAGGACAACCTGGGAACTGAAGTTCAGCCAATGAGGTGTGGCCGTCACCTGCCAGGGGCTGGTGGTCACTCCCCTCATCGCTTCCTGCTTGCAGAGCTTTAGTGAAAGAGAAAAACCAGGGTTCACAATTCTGCATCTGTGGAACTCAGCCCGCCAGCACTGCCTCCTCTCAGCTCCGGGGCTGGGGGAGGGCTCCCTGGTGTGGAAGCAGAGCTGTCGGCCTTCCCCAGGGAGGCAGGCACCGGCTGCGGGTCCATCACCACCCGCACTGTCACTGACCCTCAGCTCCACCTGGGGACCCAGAGGCATGGCTGCCTCGTCCGCCTCAAAGTGGGGTAGCCCCTGGAGTACCCCTCACAGGGATCCAGACACGTCCTGCCCTGCAGTGTCTGGGTTAGGGTAACGCCACCTCCCCTGGTGGGTGATCCTGTCACTCCAGAGCCTAGGACAAGGTCTGGCACGAGCACCCCTCCTGCAAGACATGCTTGCAGCTAAATCTGAATCCTCCATGCTTTTTTCTTATTTGAGGCCCTTATTTTGGGGTTTTCCTACAGTGTCTTTTACTCTTTTAAGTTCCCTTTCTGTGAGTAGATTATATGATACAGGCGAAAATAGAGAAGATTTCCAATGTCACTAGAACCCCAGCTGGGGACAACAGTATTTGAATAACATTTCCTGCTGAAGTGGATCCTGCGCTCCAGGAGCTGGGGAGCTGGTGGGAGTCCAAGACCAGGGGGTCTCAGGGTCAGGGAAGGGCAGAGAGCCCACCTTTGGGCAACCAAGGGGAAGGAGGTTAAACCAGAACAAAGCCTGGGGCTGCTAACCTTCTTCACACCTCGGGACAAGGCTGTCTCGGGGACAAGGGGTGGACAGATCCCATCTGAGGAGCAGATTCTGTCAATCAGAAAACCAGATCACAACCAATTTGGGAGTTAAGACATGAGAAGCACAAAATTATCCGCAGATACAGTAGAGGGAAACCGTTCCGTCAGAAAATCTGGAAACAGGTAGGTGCTGACTAGCTCTGAAACCTGACCCCAAACTCCAAAAGACAGTCCCAGAGCTGTCCAAGGCCTAGCACACTTGTGCCTGAGGGAGAAGAACCCAGGAGAAATGTGGAAATACGGGGGCCTGGGGGCGAGGGGGGAGAGTAACTCAGGCCAGATGGAGCTCTGATGATGCTATACAGCCCGAGCCCCTGCTGACAGAGTGAGACCAAGGCGGACAGAGGAGCTGGCTTAAGGGCGTCCCAGGACAGTGGGCAGACCAAAGCCCAGGAAGCCTCACCATCTGGGCAGCTCTGCAAATGTGGGCATGTTTCTGAAGCACTCTGCACCTTGGCTTCCTTGCTGATAAAAGGGGGTGTCCACAGTGCCCGCATGGCAGTGCTGTTGGGATCAAGTCTGGGTATCTGGGGGAGCAGGTGGTCGAGTTCACACAACTCGCTGGGTGAACAGGGACTCCAGGCCCAGCAGCGGATGGAACATGCGTGCAAGGTCAGCGTGCCCGAGTGCAGCACTCTTCACCGCTCATTGCGGACCGTTCGGTATACTCACTAATCCTCCCTCCATAGATACATGACCTTTTCACTCTGACAGGCTGAACATGACTTTGTGTAAGGACCTGGGTCCCTGTGTTAGGTTCATATCCAAAAATGAAAACAGTAACATGTAGATACTCTACCTCCCAAGTTAGCCCAACTAACAGACCCTTGAAACCAAGAATGACGACACCCTTCCAGACAGGAGGTTCCTGCTGTAGTGGGGCAGGGTGGTGGGGGATCTTTCATCCCTGAGAGGTAAGTCCACCACCAAGAGCTGACTCACCAGGGCTTGCAGCTTGGGACAGTGAATGGAGAGCTGGGTGAGCGTGCGGTCCGTTATCTGCAGAGAAACATGCTGAGTCAGTGTGGCTTCTACACCAGAGCTTAATACCTAACCCTGCTTCTCCTGAACACAAGAACCAAACAGTGCAGAAGAGAATTAAAAACTCATCTCAAGCACACGCAGGCTGGGAGCTCCTCTCCTCACCAGCAACCTCAAATCTGCTTACTCCCCGAGTTGCGAAGCTGTTCTCGTCTTTACCCTGGAGCCCCCAGTGGGACAAGGCACAAAGTGGGAGGGGGCGAGGGGGCCCCCAGGGTCCTTCTCTGTGCAGTCACCTCATTGCTGGGCATGCAAGCTTTTCTCTCCCAGAAGTTATGTGAAAATGAGGGTTTGGGGGTTTTTTTTGACAAAAGATGGTGCTATCCTGAACTCAAGTGATGACTGAGAGCAGCCCAGAGTGTACAGAGCGCCCTGACGCCCGTGCTGGGGCAAGAAGGCGCCAGACCGGAGCATGCAAGCGTCTCTGGTTACACCCGTCTGTCCATAGCTGCGGGGCGCCCTGCAGGGCTGTCGGGGGCACTCACCAGGATGCATTCTTCAAGATCCATTTTCTCCAGGTCGTGGCAATTCTGCAAGAGTTCACGAGAGTCCATGAGACACCCCGTTCCCAAAGTGACCCAGTGAGCCGGCGCGTCTGAGCAGGCGCCCTCGGAACCCCCGTCACATGGAAGTAGGCACTGGGGCGGCCCGTGTCCTTCTCATCCTGAAAGGCAGTGTCTACACCTTCCCAGGGGCTCACAGGTCTCAGCGTGTAGGTTCTAGCCACAGAGGGGTTTCTGGGAGGACACGGGGTGGGGCGCTCACCACAGTGTGGCTGCCGGGGGATGTGATAGCAGGCAGAGCCATCAGCCCCAGGAGGACAGCGGCTCTGGGCGGCAGGGGTGGGGGGCGGGCAGGCAGAGGCTGAGCCCAGAGTCGGGGTCTGTGAGGAAGGGCATCTCCCGCAGGGAGGACGCTGCTCCCACTGTGGCCCCGCCTGATGAAGTGAGACTGAGGGCCAGGCCCCACTCCTGGTACAGGACCCCCCAGCTTCCAGGCCCGAGGGAGAAAATACAGAACACACCCCTCTCCCCCACCAGGACTCTATTCTACTTGGGGCCCGTCATCTCTGAAGGTCGTTTTTGGTACACTCCAAGTCACTCTGGAGGGAGGTGACTGAGAGGTTGGTTGGTTTGGGAACGCCTCTCTTACCCGAGCTAGAAGCGTAAAGCCTGCATCAGTCAGGTGGGAACATCGGGCGGCCTCCAGGATCCTGGGATGCGGAGTGCAGGGGAGACAAAGGGGCAGCTGGTTAACCGCGGAAAAGCAGCGCCTGCTTCCCAGTGCTGAGTTTATCCCACTGGCACAAAACGGAGGCTCAGGGAGTCCCACCCCAGTCAGGTCAGTAAGCACAGGGATCTTCCCACGATGCCAGCACACCACTGCTCTCGTTTTTTGGTATTATTCCAGTATGCACTGACTTTTAAACAGTACCCTCTGCTCCCATCAGATCACTCACATGTCAAAGTAATAACAGGACGAGGCACCTAAGCGACACCCGTCAGGAAACGCAGACTCGGGTCCCCGGGGCCGCCCTCCACACAGCCCGAAATGAGCGCGCTCACGCTCTGTCCCATCCCAGCCCCTCCGACAGCAGCCACCACCTATTCCGGCGGCTGCGGCTGCGAGAAGACCCCACTCCCGGCCCCAGGCCTGAGGGGCAACGCGGAAGGCGCGGCGCACTCACTGGAGTCGGGGGCAGTTCAAGGCCAGGGCTGTGAGGGAGGCGTCGGTGAGGCTGCCGCAGCCGGACAGGCAGAGCGCCTGCAGCCGCGGGCAGCCGCGGCACAGCTGCACCACGCCGTCATCCGAGACGCGCTGCGGGGCCAAGCGCAGAGTCAGGCCCGGCGACGCCGGCGCGGAGCCTCCCGGGCCCTATCGTTTCATCCGATAGTGTGACCAAAGTAAGGGTACGTACAGAGAAGACCGGCATCTACGTTCTCTCTGCACAGCTTTAAAATATTCAAGTTTAAAATTCCATCTCTTAGTCTTTTTCCAGGAAAAATTCATAAACGTGTTAAAAATCAGATTTAACAAAGAGCTCATGAGATTTGTCTGGTTAAGTGACATTAATTTTTCGTTGGATTTCTACAGATTAATGCTAATTAAAAGATATCTATTCTTATAATATTTCCTGAAGTGGTGTAGAAAATAACAAAATTAAGTAAATCACTGAATTATTGATAAATGGCTTAGAAGTCTATGAATTTAGTTATAAAGATTCAAATTAATATCTTTATTTAAATACACGAATTTCTGTAGCAATAAACATGTACATTTATGTCAGACTTCAAGTCCCCTGCCAGTGTTATCCTACATGCAATTCAAGGTCCTATTTCTGAATGAAGCTGTCTCATAGTCAGTATCTCCTCATAAGATAGTTTCTGCTTTATCTCCCATCACTAGGGACTTTAAAGATTTGTGATTCATTCACTAAATGCCAAATACAAGGGATTTCATTTAATTTTCTAAAAAATTACATTCTCCTTGAGAAACCCAGCCGGCTGCAGCAAGCACCTTCTTCAATTCTCAATTATCGACAGTGGGAAAAAACCAATCATCCTTCACAGGCTGATCATGCACTGATGCAAATCACACCTCACCCTTTATTCTTCATACCTGTCATTTCCTTTTATCCACTGAGGCAGCATGAGAGGTGCCATCACTCCCAGTTTATAAGTAAACATAAGACACCAAGACCTCCCCAGGAATTGTTCAGGTTAGTGACTAGTTCATAGCATCTTTGATATCTTCAAATAAATCAAGACTCTAATCTCTGCTATTTTTAGGGGAAATGCTCGTGGCTCTGCATTGGCCTTTCATCTGTGGGAAGCGGTGGGTCACAGAAGGATGTGAGGTAAGGCAGTGGCAATCCCCCACGCCCCAACGCCGCGCTGGGGGAGCGCACGGGAGAGGCACGCTACTCACGGAGCAGGACTGCAGGTTGAGGCTCACGAGCTCATGGCAGTAATTCTGAATGTGCTTCAGAGCTTCGTCTTCCAGCTGCGTGAACAGAGAACACAGGACAGGTGGAGCCAGCCAGGGGACAGGCCGGCGCCCCAGTGACGCGCGCAGACCAGCCCGGCGAGCGGCCGTACCTGCGAGCAGCCCCTCAGCAGCAGGGCCCTCAGGCCGCGGCAGCCGCGCACCAGCGCCTCCACGCCGTCCTTGGTGATCTGGTCGCACCACGACAGGTTGAGGTACTCCAGGTGCTGGCAGCCCTCGCTGGGAGAACAGGAGACAGCCACGCCTGTGCAGTCCATCCCATGGAGAGTGCAGGCAGCTCTCTGAGCTCAGAGACCCGCCAACAGTTCCCGGGAGGGAGACCTCCGGGACCCAAGTCGCCCACCTCCTGCCGCAGGGGGACCACGTGGAAGGTTTCAAACCCCAGGATGCCCGAGCCCCGGATACTGCTTGTGACCGCCACTGACAGGCACTCTTACCTGATCCCCTTTAAGGAGCTGTTCGTAATGGACACGCAGGAGGTCAGATCCAGATGCTTCAGCTTGGAACAGAATCGGCTAAGGCTGTAACACGTGCTGAAAGAGGACAGGCGCACTAAAGGCATTTTCAACCACCTTTCCCTCCTCGCTCTCCCAGGGCCTAGCAGTCACCAAAGTGATATCTGGTACTTACCTGTCAGTGATTTTTGTGCACCCATTGAGGTTTAAATGTTCAATGTTTCGGCAGTTCTGTGCAAAGGTCCTAAAATGAGAAACCATTGTTAAAACTCCCTGCAAGTTGCAAGGCAGCCAGCAGAGGGCATGTGGAACCATTCACACTGAGAACAAGGCTCTGCAAAAGTTCAATTTATGGTGGAAAGGACACTTGCATGAGACCTACTCTCTTAACAAGTTTCTAAGTGTATAACATGTGATTGTTGACCATGGCTACCAGTGTCCTTTGAATTGATGCTCACAGGAAGCAGCTGAGGTTCTTGTCGCTGCAGAAGTCTGCTGGTGTACTGAGGCAAACTGCTTGGTAGTCTGCATTTCCAAGAAGTTCCAAAGTAGTGCCAGCGCTGCTGCTCTGGGGACACCACTTTGAGAAGCAAAGCCCTAGACAGACTGCGTATCAGCGGAAACTCTTCTTCACTCAGACTCGGGCGGTTATCTGAGAGCAGAGGTCTGGCTCCCAGTTCTCATCTACAGAAAAATCAGCTGGCAGTGAGAGGATAACAGGCAGAAAGGCCAGGGGTCTCCAGATGGAGGAAATAGGCTGCAAGTGTCAGACATTTTTATCTCTCTCAAGTGGCAGGAGGAAACAAACTAGCAATATTTTTTTCCTTCTCTATACAAATTTAAGAGGTTTCTCTTAAAATACTGTGTTGCCATAATGACACCTGGTTTCACCTGAAGTTAACTATTCTCAAACCTTGAGTTAACCAATGCATTTTTCTATGGAAATGTTTGTCTTAAGCTATGTTAATGTGCTATGCATTTACCCCAGACTCTGTCTTCAAGTTGGTTCCACCTAATGGCTCAGAACCTACTTGACAAACCATTATGTTATACTCAGATATTGTTCCCCTAATCTATGTAAGGAGAAGGAAATGGCAACCCACTCCAGTATTCTTGCCTGGAGAATCCTTTGGACAGAGGAGCCTGGTAGGCTACAGTTCACAGGGTCACAAAGACTCGGACAGGACTGAGCAACTTCACTTTCACTTTTCAATCTATGTAAATGAAACTATTTGTATGGTAATCTGCCCTTCTACAAGATTCAAGTCAATCGTTTTATGGCCCCGGATGAATCCTCTGGTGCCAAGATTATCCCAAATGCATCTTATGGATGAGGGACCTGGTGCCTTTCTGAGTTTTAAGACATTCCTTTCTTTCATCATCAGACTGCTAGTGACTATATAACATCCAGCTGAAGACGTACCCTTTCTGCCCCCTTCTGATGCCTATGTCAGAAGCTTTCTCTATCTCCTTTATACTTTAATAAAACTTTATTACACAAAAGCTCTGAGCGATCCAGCCTCGCCTCTGGCCCCGGATTGAATTCCTCTCCTCCAGAGGCCAAGAACCCCGGTGTCTTTTCGTGGGTCAGCAACAACCTTTCAGCAGCAACTGAAGGGGTCACGTCCTCCATGTGCTTCGCTGTGCTGTGACTTCCCTGGGCCCTTCCGGAGAAACCATCTCTGGCCACTGATAGGTCAGTAATCCATCAGTATCAAGACGCATCCTTCACTGGTGAGGACACCAAGTCCTGCAGGGTGGGCCCTCAAAGATTTGGGGGTTGGCAGCATGGCCAGAAGCAGAGAATCCCACATCCCTAACTCGCCACTTAGTCCTTAACATACACGGCAACGACTTGCTTAGGTCAGCTGCATTTTCGTGAAATGTGGCTTCAGTGTATCCTACAGGCTTGAGTCCTGATGCTTCCAGTCAGTACCCAAAGATCTCCCAAAACTGGCCTCAAACCACGCGTCGGTCTTACCTGTTCTTTCTGCTCTGCTGTGTGTAGGGAAAGGGAACCCAGCTGGAGCCTAGCCGACTCCCTGACCTGAGTGTATGGAGTCAGTGTCTGACCACGCTGTCAGAGTGACCAGAGAAGAGGAGGAGAATGGAGGACTCCAGAGCTCTGCAAAAGGTTCCCGCAAGAATTCAGCAGAGTCCCAGTCAGAGTGCAAATCACCCAGAGCCCGGGAAGGACCCAACGAGAAGCATTAGAGGGGCAAAGCTAGAGCTCACCCAGGGTGAGTAAGAGTACCGGGCCCACGAGACAAGAGTGAAAACGCCAAAGTGTGTGGGGCACTGGGTACAGTACTGAGCAGCGTCTTGCTTCAGAAGAGCAGTACAATTGTCCCTAGATTAACCACTGCTGCGGTCCAACCTAGTAAAAAAAAAAAAAAAAAGATCTCCTCGTTCAAAGGAACTATGCCCAAGTAACTCGGCTATGTCTCAGAACAAAACTCAAATATATTTATCAGAATACAAAAATACTCTGTACCCTAAATAACATTCACAATGTCGAGCATTGAACAAAAAATTAACATCCATTCAAATAAGAAGGAAAATATATCCATAATGAAGGGAAATTCAATCTGTTAAGGCTATCCAGAACTGACACGGATACTACAGTGTGCTGTGCTAAGTTATTTCAGTTGTCTCCTGTTCTTACAACCCCATGGACTGTAGCCCACCCGGCTCCTCTGTCCATGGGAGTCTCCAGGCAAGAATACTGGAGTGGGTTGCCAACATCCTCTAGAGCATCTTCCCAGGCAAGAATACTGCAGTGGATTGCCAATCTCCTCCAGAGCATCTTCCCAACCCAGCGATCAAACTTGCATGTCTTTTACATTTCCTGCATTGGCAGGCAGGTTCTTTACAACAGTGCACCACCTGGGAAGCCCAGAGATAGCAGACAAAAGCATTAAAAGTTATCGTAACTGTGTTCTGTAGAATACACTTCTGTGAAGCTGAAGATGTTAATTGAACATTTCATGTCTATTAAGCATGTTTCACAGAGACATGAAACTCATAAAGATACAAATTAAACTTTTAAATATGAAAACCACAATAATGAGATGAAAACTTATGAACGGTTAAGATTAACAGTAGATTAGACACTGTGGAAGAAAAGATTCGTGAATTTAAAACACATATTAAATATGTGTTTGAAAGAAATATGGAAAGAAAAGAGAAAAAGAACAGCATGAAAGAACTGTGGGATAGCTTCAAACAACCTAATGAACGTGTAACTGGAGTCCCTAAAGAACAGGAGATTGTGTGGGACAGGACAATATCAGAAGGAATAATGGCCAAAAGTTTAATGAAAATTATAAACGTACAAATTCTAGAAACTGAAAGAATTCCAAGTATAAGAAACAAGAAGGGAACTCCACCAAGGCATAAGCTTAACCAAATTGGTGAAAACCAGTGATTAAAAAAAACATTAAAAGCACCCAGAGAAAAAATAAGATACACCTCATACAGAGGAATAAAACAAGGATGACAAGAGTTCTCATCAATAGTAAAAAAGCAAGAAAACAAAAACTGTCAACCCAATTTTATATTCATCAAAAAATATTTTTTCAAAACTGAAGAGAAAAAAGTTTCTCTCAGGCAGAAGTGCTAAAAGAATTCATCAGATCTGCAGCGCCAGAAAAGTTAAAGAACACTCTTCAGGCAGAAAAAAAAAAGACATAAGATGAAAATCTGTGTTTACAAAAAGAAATGAAGGATTGGAAATATTAACTTGACTTATAGAAAGTCATTGTAGGTATCTAAATCTCTTTAAAAACAACTGTCTGTTAAAACAAAAATAATAACTATCCAGTGTGGATTTAAGGCCATATTTGGAAATTGAAAGTGTATGGCAATAACAGCATGATAGCTGAGCAAAGGAAAATGGAAGTGAGATGTAATATAATGTGAGGGTAGACTGTAATAACTTTAAAATGTACAATATCAACTAAAAAACAACACGAAGGTTACTTCGTAAGCTGTAGCTACTAAGCCCCCCAAAGACATAAATGGAACTTGAGGGAAAATTCTAAAAGAAGTCGGCTTCCACATTAAAAACCAGAAAGGCCAAATGAAACACAAAATAAAGGAGATAATGAAGACCAGAGAAGAAATCAATGAAGTAAAACACAAAAACAAGGGGAACAAATGACATCCAAAGCTGGTTCCTTGAGAACATCAAATAATTAGTAACCCCCTAGTTAGGCTGGGGCTTCCCTGGCAGTTCAGCTGGTAAAGAATTCACCTGCAACGCAGGAGACCCCAGTTCCATTCCTGGGTTGGGAAGATCCCCTGGAGAAGGGAACAGCTACCCACTCCAGTATTCTTGCCTGGAGAATTCCATGGACAGAAGAGCTTGGCAGGTGGGCTTGCAAAGAGTCCATGAGGGCCATGGGGTCACAAAGAGTTGGACATGACTAAGCACAGCACAGCTAAGCTGACCAGGAATAAAGAGACAAATATTACAACTATCAGAGAAACTGACTCATCTTTACTCTCTAAAAATTGGTATTAATGTCAATAAAAATTCAAAGAACATATATATTGCAATAGGCACTGAAAATCACTCTGATTTTTATTAGACTTAGCAATTACTTTCATATAGTAAAAAAAAAAAAAAATTACCAAAGTCAGGAACAAAGAGCTATCACTACAGATTTTAGATATTAAAATGAAAGCAAGAGGGTATTATTCGCAACTTTTTGCAAAAACTTCAAGCACTTTAGGTGAAATGGACAAAATCATTGAAAGGCAAAAACTACACCAAAGCTAATTCAAGAATGGATAGAAAACCAGAAGAGTTCTATATATATTAAAGAAATAGAATTTATAGTTAAAACCCTTCCATAAAAACAAGCAGGGCCAGTAGGCCTCAATGATGAATTCTACCAAACCAAGTAAGGTAAAACAATACAAATTTTACATAAACTTTTCAAAAAAGATGAAGAGGAGAAAACATTCTGTAAGGCTATAATTAAAATTATAATTATCACAACCTGATAATTAAACCAGACAAACACATCACAAGAAAACCACAGAACAAGATACCTCACAAACATGGGTATAAGAAAAAATTTAACATAATTTTAGCAAATAGGATCCAACAATATGTAAAAAATGTAGTACATGACAACTCAACAAGGGCCTATCTGAAGGGTGGAAGTTTGGTTTAACATTCAAAAACCAACCAATGTAAGAAAAGGGGGGTCAAGATGGCGGAGTAGGAGGACACGG